GACGAAAGACCCCTGGGCTCACCCAAAATTTGTTCTCCTAATTCCTTTTTCCCTGCCCCGCAAGGAGCATCTTGATACTTTAAATTTGGCCCATGATAAAATTTTCCCTCTCCAAACCCCTGCCATCCATAACTTCCATAACGTTTCCCCTTTTTCTACACTATCTTATCCCGCCCTCCCAATTTTTATAGCAAACCCCCCCCCCCCCCAATTTTACTCTTTCTTCAATAAAACTTTAATCAACTTCCCCCGTATCCCTAGCCCTTTCCCGGGCCCACCCCTATTGTCCCCTTAAAGATCACTTTACCAGGACCTTTTTTATTTGTTAGCAAAATTTTTTTGCAAAAATCTTATAATCACCACACAATAACGAAATAGCACGATGTTTTTTAAAAATGTTAATGGCTCACCTTTAGGCACTAAAACGACCAAAAGCCCTCCCCTTTTTGTGCCCAAAAACCCCATCCCGCTTAAGGATTTTTGATTAAAATTTTCCAAAAATTCTTTTTAAAACCCCTCCCAATTTTGGGGATAAAAATTTACTGGGCAACCCATCAATTTTCCCCGGTTTCCTTTTCCAAAATTTCGCCCCCGGGTAAAACTTCCCATGTCTCGCACTCCGTTATGGCCCTTTTCCCAAAACGAATCGAAACATGCCCTGTCAACCACCCCGGGACCCAAAACCCTTCCCAATTTACTGTATGTTTTTCACTTAATTTTCCCCCACATTGGTTTTCAACTTAACCCCCGATCAAAAATACCCCCTTTATACCCTAGTCGTGTCAAAAACCCGGTCCACTTTATACCCCTTTCATTAACCCACCTGAACATTCAACCCCTTTTCCCCCATTGCCCTTTCGACGTGTGGGGGTTGACTCCCAAAAACAAACGCCCACGGCCCATCTCCCACAAAACCTCCCCAATCCCCCCCTTAAACCTTTTCCCCCTCAAAAAACTTCTTTTTTTTTAAAAAACCCGGGTAATTTCCCTTTAAACTTTCAATTTCAATAACAGGTTAAATTGAAATTTTTGTGCATAACAGTCGCGCCCAAATGCCCCCCCTAAATATTTTTTAAAACCGTTTTTGGGAACCCGGATTATATTTTCCCTGATTTAAAATAAAAATTCCCTTAAAAAGTTTTTTAGCTGTTTCCCACCAATTAACCCTGGCAACATCCCCCGGTTTCTTCTACCACTAAAAGATCCCACATATGTCCAAAAAACAAAAGGGGCTTCCTCTCCCTTTTTAACTTTACATTCAATTTCCAAAATGATGGACCCCCCCGAGGGGCCCCCCTCCCAAAATCCCCCATCTTTACCAAATCTCTATGATCCGGGAAAAAAACCCCATCTATCATATTCAAACCCCCCGCACAGTAACCCCCACAAGGCAAAGTACATTCGGTAAACCCCGCCGATAAAACCCCGTTTTTAAAGAAGGTTAAAGCCTTTTTTCCATCCCCCCCCCCCCCAACCAAACCTTTTTAAACCCCCCCCCGGTCAATATATCCCCCCCAAAATCCCCCAAAAAACACCCCCCACCTCTGGGCTCCACATCTTTAAAGGGCGTTTTCACGCAATTCCAAACTCCCCCTATTATTGCAAAATTCGGGGAAACCACGTAAAAAAAAAGACCAGCAGTCCCGAACAAATTTAGTTTTAATACTCACGTCACCCTCAGCCGGACCATATACACATACTAAACTAATGGGAACCCTACCCCAAGTTCCATCCACTCTAATTACCCTCCCCTCCCCCCCTTCACTACGCCTTACTATAAACGGGCTAGTTTCCTTTACCAAAATGGCAGCCCCACCTTTCAAACGTGTCGCATGTTCCATGTACACATTATAACCACTCATATCCAACTCATAACCAGGCCTAAAATTATGTTCCTGTAAGAATACCACATCCACACCAAGTCGCACCAAATACTCATTAAACCACTTAAGCTTCCTCTCAGCTCTCAACCCGTTAATATTTATAGTAAAACACTTGAATTCAACAAATGGGTTTTCCTTTTGTCCCCGGCATTGACTTTACCCCAGTTCGTTTTGCAACACCTCTGTCCCTCCCCCCTTTGTTGGGAATCACCTTTGCAATCCCTTGATCCTTGGGTTCACCATTCCCTCTTCTGTACCTCCACCCAAGACTTTTTCCCAGGGCGTTGGGCAGGAGTTAGCACATCATCAGAATCCGATGATGCTGCAGTCCTCTTTCGTGTCCCGCCCTCCACCTGCATTTTGACATCTGAAGCACCGTCCTGAGATGCCACCTCCACCTCTACTGCATGCACCTTCAATCCTTGAGACTCTTCTGTCGACCAACGTCATCTTCTGCCATATCATCATGCACAGCTTCCCAGAACTAAGCTGGCGTCTTTCCATGATCTGGAACCGATTCCCTCTAACAAGTCATCACGCCTTTACAAAGACGCCGCACTTCTTCACCTATTAGGTAGACTCTTCTCAAAAACCTTTGTATGTCCAATGACTGAGATTCTCTTGAAGCGTTTACATGGCGATTCGAAACTCTTTTCTTTGTCCACCTCTACTCCATGACAAACCGTTGTTGGGGGGGTGTAGCAGAGACTGTTCTCCGCTCATCGCCACCTCGTCCAACTGGCTGCTGTTGCTGCTGTTTGCCGTTGCTGTTGTTGCGGGTACCACTTCGTTTCCCACACTGCGCCGCCGAAGGGGTCATATGGACACATAGCGACACGACGTTGTTGCCCGCATACGATACATAGACTTGGGCAGTCCTTAAATTCTTTCAACACAATTTATGAAGGAATAGGGTGTCGAAGAGTCATTTTTCACTGTATACGCTCTCTCCAGCGCACCTGCATACGGTCAGTTGCCATTCTCCCTGCTGTGGCTACGTGAACCGTCCCATAAGTACGCAGGCATTCACTGGTAATATCACAATCAGTCGCCTCAAAAGCACATTCCTAATTTTCACCAGGTTGAATGTCGACATACATCATGAAGTCTCACCGTACAAGCTGTTATTAACCGGTATTGCGGTCTTCCTGATACTTGTCGACCATGCCTCGTAGACTTGTGCAGACGTCATTTTAACGAAGATTTTGTCATTCATTTAATGCGGACACCAATATCTCTCATTTGCTATACCATAGGTATCGCGAATGAGTCGATCACTGTGGTTAATAATAAATCCATGTTGGATCTGTGAACGCCACCACGGATCATCTCAAGGCAGACAGTGTAGATTTTCTTCTGACTATTCAGCGCCCTGTTGGAGAAAATAAGTTTCCACCAACCAACGCTAGGGGCAGCTCACATCGGATTAAACTGCGCAAAACAAACTCAAACAGGAGCGTAATCTGCGCAGCTCGCGCACACGGCTCGGAAGGCGTATGCGGACAATGGACGTGATTTGGTTCATGTTGTTACTATAATGCCACAAATTTTGGGGCTAAATGTCTTCGTAATTTAGTAAATGAAAGTAGTAGCAACTCAGTTTGGGGTGACTTAACTGATAGAGAGAGCATTTTTTCTTTGTTTTTCACCACCGACTGATTTGGAAGCGTCCCAAAGTTAGAGTCAAATTGGTTGGTTGAAAAGCGGGTGATCATGGGACCGTGAGCAGGAAGCGTGAGTCAGGGAACCAGTTTCACGGAATCAGACTCAGGAAGCCAAGAATTATACAATTTACTTCCCTCCACGTCAATATCTTTGTATTAGTGGGATACGAGTATTTCAAATTAGTGAGAGAGTGAAAGCAATTTGCTCAATAGTGGAGCAGTTGAATGAGCCAAGTTGTTGAAGATGACAGAGCAACGCATTTAATACACTAACAAGCAAACACAAACTGCTCACCCACTGGAGACAGGCGAGAAAGCTAACTCTGCAACTCGGGGATTACAGGAAAGCAAGTTGACTGGACTGTGCCGGCTGACAAAGATCATTTTTACACTACTAACACTGGTATCTAATTACGATCTTCCACACTACTTACAAAAAAAAAAAATAATATTTTTGCATCTAAGATGGGATATGAAAAAAGTGTCTTACTGGTGTTGAGAAGAGAAGTGGAGAGGCGAGCACTTCACTATTTTGTTCCCACACTAAACATATTAATATCTATTCTTCTTGACAGAAGAGAGCCCAACACACAATTCTAGTGTAATATTTTACACTAACTTGTTACTGGTGGCTACAGCTCGCGGGGCCACTCGCAAAGGCATGCCAATTTATGTAGTCTCTAAAGTCACTGTGAGGGGAAAAGTCTGCCAGCTTTCGTCTTAGCATCCTTTCGTTTATCACTCGGGACCCTGACATATCCCAGGAACCATTATTATTATTATTATTATTATTATTATTATTATTATTATTATTATCATGGGGAGCGCTAAACCAGTAGGGATTATTCATGGATTAAAATAAACTCAGCATATATACGCTGAGAAATACACCTTTGCATATGTTCTGTGTGGGAGACGGAAGGTGAGGTAACACACGCACACCTCCTGGGACACGTACAAAGAAACCAAACGAAAGAAAATTAGCAGACTACCAGGCTGGAGAGGGTAGGTGAAAGTACGAACACTCGATAACAGGTGGCGCTGACATGCTCTCACCTTACCCAGGATTAACACTGGTGGGGAGGGGGGCAAAGAACGTAGATACATTGAAACCAAGTTAAAATATATAACCAATCTAAAAGATTATATTGGGTTAAGCGATGCCTGATCTTGTTGCTGTGACTATCTGTCACCCGCTCCTGGGTAGCACATAATCGCTATAAACACAGTGGCAAGCGAGCACTACTTTGTGAACACTTTAAAGAGGTGGGTACAATACTGTAGCAGTTGCTCTCGTGAATGGAGGATCCAGCTTTCACTAGTTCTTGCACTGACCCTTCTACCAGCTCTTGCACTTAATGATTCACGCGGGTTTACCGCTTTTATATATAATAAATTCATAACTGAATAACACCCTGGACACAGGTTAAGGCAGGTGCTTTCTCTGCCACAGATTGCTGCGGCAGGTGAGCGCGGACAACTATGGTTTCACTCGTAAAATCGACCAGGAGGATCGACCAGCCCAACAGCTACAAGACTTTTACCAACAGATCGCCTCACCACTTATGACAGATGTGGACATCCTCTACCTGGAAGACGAGGTCGACCAGAACTCCCTGGTCAGGCAGGGACCCACCACCTACTACTCTGGTGACGAGGTCAGTACACAACCTGGTGTAAGACGATGGTGTGGGGAGAATGAGAAGAATTAGAAGAAGAATTGGATGAAAACAAAGAGGGAAGATACAGGGAAAAAATCGTAGAACTTACAAAGTTATAGTCCATAATGGTCATTGATTAAAAAAAGTGTGTCTGTTCTTTAAAAAAAAAACATTAAAAATTCTTACCCACTTGTAACTCTCCGCTGACTTGTCAGTGAGGTCCGGAAGGTACCTCGGTAATTTAGAAGGTCATAGTTTAAATTCTAAAGTGAAGCTGGGGTCACAGTACACTTGGCTGTGATTGGTACACCTTGCTGTGATGTTACACATGACTGTGATGGTGGCACATGACTGTGACGGTACACTGGACTTATGGTACACATGATGTGATAGTAACATGGCAGAGAATGTTACACATGACAGTGTAATACACATGGGGCCTGTGATGTACACATTGACTGTGATAGTACATCATTGGCTGTGATGGTACACATGGCTGTTGATGGTACACATGATTGTGATGGTACACATGGCTGTGATAGTACACATGACTGGGATGGTACGCATGACTGTGATGGTACACATGGCTGTGATAATACACATGGCTGTGATGGTACACATGACTGTGATGGTTCATATGACTGTGATGGTTCACATGACTGTGATGGTACAAATGACTGTGATGGTACACATGGCTGTGATAGTACACATGACTGTGATGGTACACATGGCTGTGATAATACACATGGCTATGATGGTACACATGTCTGTGATGGTTCACATGACTGTGATGGTTCACATGCCTGTGAGAGTACACTGGACTGTGTGGTACACTGAATGTGATGGCACACATGACTGTGATGGTACAAATGACTGTGATGGTACACATGGCTGTGATAGTACACATGGCTGTGATGGTACACATGGCTGTGATAGTACACATGACTGTGATGGTACACATGACTGTGATGGTACAAATGACTGTGATGGTACACATGGCTGTGATAGTACACAAGACTGGAATGGTACACATGGTGTGATAGTACACATGGGCTTGATGGTATTTACCACATGGCTGTGATAGTACACATGGCTGCGATGGTACACATGGCTGTGATGGTACACATGATTGTGATGGTACACATGGCTGTGATAGTACACATGACTGGGATGGTACGCATGACTGTGATGGTACACATGGCTGTGATAATACACATGGCTGTGATGGTACACATGACTGTGATGGTTCATATGACTGTGATGGTTCACATGACTGTGATGGTACAAATGACTGTGATGGTACACATGGCTGTGATAGTACACATGACTGTGATGGTACACATGGCTGTGATAATACACATGGCTATGATGGTACACATGACTGTGATGGTTCACATGACTGTGATGGTTCACATGACTGTGATGGTACACATGACTGTGATGGTACACATGACTGTGATGGCACACATGACTGTGATGGTACAAATGGCTGGGATAGTTACACATGGCTGTTGATGTACTCTTGGCTGTCTGATAGTACACATGATCTGTGTGGTACAGCACTGACTGTGATGGTACAAATGACTGTGATGGTACACATGGCTGTGATAGTACACATGACTGTGATGGTACACATGGCTGTGATAGTACACATGGCTGTGATGGTACACATGGCTGTGATAGTACACATGGCGCGATGGGACACTGGCTGCGATGGTACACATGTTTTGGTGGTTACACATCGGCTGTGCTAGTACACATGACTGGGATGGTACGCATGACTGTGATGGTACACATGGCTGTGATAATACACATGGCTGTGATGGTACACATGACTGTGATGGTTCATATGACTGTGATGGTTCACATGACTGTGATGGTACAAATGACTGTGATGGTACACATGGCTGTGATAGTACACATGACTGTGATGGTACACATGGCTTCCTTCTGATAATCACCATGGCTATGATGGTAACATGACTGTGATGGTTCACATGACTGTGATGGTACAAATGACTGTGATGGTACACATGGCTGTGATAGTACACATGACTGTGATGGTACACATGGCTGTGATAATACACATGGCTATGATGGTACACATGACTGTGATGGTTCACATGACTGTGATGGTTCACATGACTGTGATGGTACACTTGACTGTGATGGTACACATGACTGTGATGGCACACATGACTGTGATGGTACAAATGACTGTGATGGTACACATGGCTGTGATAGTACACATGGCTGTGATGGTACACTTGGCTGTGATAGTACACATGACTGTGATGGTACACATGACTGTGATGGTACAAATGACTGTGATGGTACACATGGCTGTGATAGTACACATGACTGTGATGGTACACATGGCTGTGATAGGTACACATGGCTGTGATTGTACCACATGGCTGAGATACGTACCACCATGGCTGCGATTGTGCACATGGCTGTGATAGTACACATGGCTCTGTGATGGTACACATGGCTGTGATGTTACACATGACTGTGATGGTACACATGGCTGTGATAGTACACATGGCTGTGATGGTACACATGGCTGTGATAGTACACATGGCTGTGATGGTACACATGGCTGTGATAGTACACATGACTGTGATGGTACACATGGCTGTGATGGTACACATGGCTGTGATGGTACACATGACTGTGATGGTACACATGGCTGTGATGATACACATGGCTGTGATAGTACACATGGCTGTGATGGTACACATGGCTGTGATGGTACACATGGCTGTGATGGTACACATGGCTGTGATGAGACAGAAAAAAAGGAAAATAAGGTTGAAGGGAAGGGAAGGGTAAACACAAAAACTGGGAAGAGGAGGAAGGGAGAGTAAAGAAGTGAAGGTGGCAGCAGGAGGAATAAATAGTAAGAAGGAGGAAGTTGAACATGCATGGGGCGATGTCAGGGAGGCTCTAAGATCAGGGAAAAAATCGACAGGAGGATAGAGAGACAGTAAAATAGGATAGGAGGAGGAGGAGAGGCTTGAAGAGGGAGAGGAACATGAAAAAAGGAGATAACAGAGTGTGAGGAGCGGCTGGAGGGACGTTTCAAAGGCACAAGTTATCAGACTGTGAAGAAGGTCCTACAGTTAATAACACACTGCAGATTATACCTCCTATACCAGAGGGGAAGGCGTGAAGGTGGGCGTGGAAGCATGGTTTAATCCTACTGAGCGTGAAGCTGGACGTGGATGGTGAGGTGGGAAGGATGTTATGGCTATGATAGGTGATGGCTGTGTGTGGAGGATGAGATTGTGGGCGTGTAGTAGCTGGACGTGGATGGGTGGGCGTGGAGGATGTGTAGGCATGAAGGTGGGCGTGGTGGAGGATGGGTGGGCGTGAAGCTGGACGTGGATGGGTAGGCATGGAGGATGGGTGGGCGTGAAGGTGGACGTAGGTGCAGGATGGGTGGGTGTTAAGGTACAAGCTTTAAAAACATCTACAGGGTCCACGGTACAGTACTCTCGCGTTAGTAGTCATTATACACTACAGTAGTCATCATAACTGCAGTAGTAGTCATCATGGCTACAGTAGTAGCATTATGCACTAGAGTAGTATCATAATTAAGTAATGTCACTTACACTACAGTAGCATATAACTACAGTAGTTAGTCACTATGCAGTAAGTATATATCAATTCATACCTCTGATGCCTTCACAGGGTAAACCGCCTCTGTACTTGAATCAGTATCTTTCACTACGAGTTCCCATTTCATCTTGTTAAGAAATTATATCAATAGACACTTGTTGAACCAGGTCGTCTTCACATAACTTAAACGTTCGTGTGTGTGTGGTGTGTGTGTGTGGGTATTGTGTGTGTGTGTGTGTGTGAGTGTGTGTGTGTGTGTGTGTGTGTGTGTATGGTGTGTGTGTATGCGTGTGTGTGTGTGTGTGTGTGTGTGTGTGTGTGTGTGTGTGTGTGTGTGTGTGTGTGTGAGTGTGTGTGTGTGTTGTGTGTGTGTGCTGTGTGCGCAGGTGCTTGCGTGTTAATTTACATAGTAGAAGGAATATGGCCAATTGGTCTCTTCGATGTTTGTTGTGCCTTGTCTGTCTTTGTGTACAGGAGCTTGAGCACTAGTGTTAGACTAGTGTAGCCAGCTACTCCTCACGGTGGAGACGCAGCAGTGGGCAACCACAAGTTTCCAGGGTAACATGCAGGTGAGGTGGAAGCTTCTGCCTTGAGGGGCACGTCAATTCCCCTGTTTTCTAATAATATGTTATTTTTCCCCTATAATCTACCTTACCATAATTGCTATCGCATTTGCTTTGCTTTCGTAAGGTAAAGTCCAGGATCCTTCCTTAATTCATGGTATAACTTAAATCTTTGAGGACAACTGTGTTGCAACACAATTGTCCTCAAAGATTTGCTGAGTTATACCATGAACTAAGGAAAGATCTTAGACTTCACCTTACTAAAGCAGACAAAGCAAATGTGATAGTAATTATGGGCAAGATAGATTATACAGGAAAAATAAACGTGATATTAGGAGACAGGGAAACTCAGGCGCCTATTAACGCTTAACTCTCACTGAGAACAAAAGAGAAAGAGTTAAACACTGACACACTCGGTCAAGCCTCCCTCTCTTCTACTACTACTACTGAGGAGAAAACACGCGCACACTTCCTAAAACACCTCATTGGTACGTCACTCTCACGTGCGCTGTGATACCTTTCCTCACTATTGATTTCCTACAAACATTTGCTCACCACTGATTTCCTTTTTTTATAATTTTCTCTTCTCTTAGTTTTATCCTGGCAGTTAGAGTACGACAGTGCGACTGGAAATATTATTTTTTTTTATATTAAAAATTTGTACAGCTTATTTTTTTACAAGTGTAACGAACACCATCATAGAATCATCCTGTACACAGCTGTTGTATAAATTAAAATGTAAATGATTTTCAAAGCTACAATGTGAAGTGAATTTCCTGCTTGCAGGATCAATATTTATATATATCTATCTATCTTTATTATATATTTATTATATATATATATATATATATATATTATATATATATATTATATATATATTTATATATATATATAAATACACACACACACACGTACGTTACGATGTTCGGAAAGTTTTCTTCAGTTATGAGTCGTCAGGAAGTGGAATAGCCTAGCAAGTGATGTAGTGTGGAGGCAGGAACCACATATAACTTTAGACGAGGTATGACAAAGCTCAGGAAGCAAGAGAGAGAGATGACCTAGTAATGATCGTGAAGAGGAAGGGCCAGGAGCTCAGTATCGACCCCCTGCCAACCACCAAATTAGGTGAGTACAATTAAGATGAATATATATTTATATATATATACTATATATATTTATATATATACATATAGTAATATATTATATATATATATATATATATATACACACATGCAAGCACGAACGAGTTATAGAAAGAGTCAACTGGATATAATTATTATAATCCAAAAGAAGCGCTAGCCACAGGATATTACAGCGCCTCGCAGGGCAGGAAGGTAGCGAGCGGCATCAGGTGGCAAAAGGGGAGATGACAACCCGAGTAATAGGTTACAGATAACAGCGGGGGCGGGTCAGTAGATGGTGAAAGGGTTAAAGGGCAGCAAGGACGTAAATAGAAAGGGCTGAGGGGAGTGCGAAAAGGTATCATCAGAGTTGTGGAGTAAATCAGTCGTTGTCAAGAAGTCAATGAGAGAGTCAGGATTAAAGGAGGGTCAATCAGCAAGAAAGGGAAGGTTAAAGAGAGAGTAGTGAACGAAGACGACGTTGGAGTAAATTTGCGTCGCTCGTTGATAGAGGAGGGCAGTACTAACAGAATGTGCTAATCGATTACTGGAACTTGACACTGCTCACGACGAGGAACAGGGTTGATCTCCATGGTTACCCATGAGTAAGACGAGTGTGGCATGCGAAGGCGGGAGAGAGTGGCTCCAACCTCGGCACTGATGACAAGAAGACCGGGCAGTAAACCTATGCTCGGTTTAATGAATGAAAGTTTGTTACCGAGCAGAGTTGACACAAACGTTCGTTGCCAACGGGTGCGAAGGTGGGTAGCTCTATTGCAGCAAAAGTCAGTAAATGAACACCTCGTAGGAAATTGGTAGGTCATGGTACTGCCTGACGCGCAGCAGTGTCTGCCTGTTCATTGCCCCTGTACGCCGACATTGACAAGGGACCTACAAAAAACAATATCTTTATGTTTGGTAGAGATACGCGGCGTTGCCAAAGTTGGATACGGAGAACGGGGGATGAGATGTATCAAATTTTCGTTATAGCCTGTAAGCACTAAGGGAGTTGAGACTTACTACATAGATGCGATACGAATAAGTGCTGCAAGATGGCATACAGTTTCAGCAGGTAAAAATGCTACTGAAGGATAGTAAATGCCCCGCCGACGCTGTCCGGAAACACTGCTGCGAATCCGACGCAGTCTGAAGACTAGAGCCATCTGTTGTACACAGCGGTTGCGCATGAGAATGGGAGTGGAAGTGATCCAGAAAAAGAGAGCGGGAAGCCACCGTAGGCAGTTTGAGATTTCGAGCAAGGGTGTGAGAAAGAACAAACCGAAACAGCTGGAAAATTCCAGGGGGGTAGGAACAAGTGAGATGACTACATGACTTATAAAAGGTGGTAACTGAAGGGAAGACCAAGAGTGAATGTAGGCGAAGAGAAAAGGGGGATGGAGCAAACAAGGGGCGGCGAACGAATAAAGAGGTCTACTAATATCGGTGACCATTATATAAATGGAAGGATTGTGTAGATCGTTGAGAGCGTACATAGTAGCGAAGGCAATGGGCATCACGGCGATCAGACAAGGATGGAACATTCGCTTCTGTATAGAGGCTCTCAACAGGGGAAGAGCGAAAAGCCCAAGCACAAAACGTAATCCTTGGTGATGGATAGAGTTAAAAGCTAGGGAGAGTTGCAGGAAGGAAGAGGCCGCGGATAAATCTGGTCCACCATTAATCGAGGTTTCGATAAAACGATGGGCTCTGAATGTAGGGAAGCAGAGTCGGCGATCAGCTCCCCAGGAAAGATGAGCAAGGGTTTTTAAGAAGGGTTTAGGCGGCTGTGGCAAAGTTGCATTCAGGAGAGGTAAGGTGAGGTGTCCAGGATAAAAGAAGGTCAAGAGAATGGCCCTAGGAAAACCGGACTGTATCACGTTAGGGAAGGATAGGGGAGCCATAGAGATACAAAGGATGATCGGAGAGATTAAAGTGCGTCTACTGAAAGTAATTTGGTGAAGTTTTGGTACTTGAAAATTTAAAAACACCATGCGTGGTCGCTCAAGTGGAAAACACGGTTCGCCCGCATGCTGGAGTGGAAACTAGCAATAAGATGACAGTCAGCCGCCCTTGCACAAGCAATAGCGAAGTCATCAACATAGAGTGATGACCAAAATATGGGTGGAAGAACGAGGCCAAATCATTTATGCAAGGAGAAAAAGTGTTCCTGTAGTGCTTAGAAACATCCCTTGAGTGACCCTTGCTTGGACGACCCAGGTCCGGGCGAAAGAACATTTATTGACTCGAACACGGAAAATGTCTGTCAGTTTTAAAAAGTTCTTATGGAAGGATGGTAGAGTGCCTCGGAGGCCTAAGGAATGGGCCTGGGCCAAAATATTATACCTCCAAGTTGTGTCATATGCCTTCTCAAGGTCAAAAAATATGGCAATAACTGAGTGATTATTCGCAAAGGCATTACGAACATACGTATCCAAGCCGTTAGTAGTTAAGGAGGTCTAAGGTAGAACGACCTTACGGAAAGCTATTGATAGCGGAGAGACTGTTGTGATGTCTCTAAACACCACATTAAACGTCGATTTACGAGACGTTCCATGAAGAAATAACCGACAGGTTTACAACATGTTCAAGAAACAGTACCTGTGTATAACAGGGAAAATTAGAGATGAACTAGCAAAGCTAAGGCTCATCATTTTAAATATACTAAGTCCTCACACTAACTATGCGCGACAGAGCGTTATAAGTACAATGTAGAATTAGAGGTTCAGAAGCAGGTCAAGAAGAATGTCACTACTTGCGCACAAACAATTTGTTTTTTACTATAAAAATTGAACAACAGATAATAAGGTAACAGAGTGAACAAATCAACAGTATACTGCATGCAGGGAAATTCCATAAAAGCTCTAAAACTGATAGCAATTACCAAGACATCTGTCAACCAATTATGATTTGTCTTTCAAAAGGAAACGAGAAAATAAGCACGATGGATATTTTCTTAATGAACCTTAATGATTTTATTTAATATGAAGTTATTTTTTTCTCTGAGTTTCTTTGCATTAGTGGGAAAAACTTGCAAAAAAATCCTAAAATGTCACAAATAGTTTGGCAAATGTGTAAGATGAAGTAAGTGTGGTGGTCAAACGAGGTGTTTTGTGTTACAGGTGGTGGTGTCGGGGCAGCTGGCGGAGGGGGCGACGGAGGTTCATCCTATAGTGGAAGGCCGGGGCAAAGGTGGACCCCTGCAGCTCCAGGTCTCCAGAATCTCCACTCCTGAGCCTGCCCCACAGAGAGATAACTACGTGGAGAGACTCTGGGCCTACCTTACCGTGCTGGTGGGTGCTTCTACTCTTTGGCTGGTACATGTAATCAGCCATGACTTTATTTATTCAAATTAAACTAGTTTTGGGGGTATCCATTGAAATGAACTTAGTCGAGGTTCGATGTATATGAGATCAACCACTTAAGTATATAACCAAACACATTCAAGTATACAGTGTACTGACTGGCTAATTAGCAATGTTTATCCTTAAACTCACCTCCTGACAGTTACGTGGCAATAATAATATTGATTAAAACACTTACAGACTTAAAACTAATTCTGAGGGAGTTCTTTTGTCAATAGTGTTTTCTTTTTTATTTATAATATAACGAATTATATAACTTAAAGGCATGTCAAACTATAAAACAGTTTAGCAACATTTCGCTAATATCCAAAAATAAAGTACATGATTTGATTGTTATAACTACGCTAGAAGGTTAGATGGTATGGCGTCACTCCTTGATATAATTATACACAGTGTGAAACACAACTTGTTGATATATCATCCACAACGTAGCGCAGAGACTATATATTACAGAAAATTAGGTCTGCTAAAAACTTTTCAAGCCAGTATTTTTCAAGTATTTTTCCTGTTCATTATATTCAATAGCAAGAGATGTAGGTGGTCACTTTAGAGATACGTTATGTTATGGTGGCAACACATGGAGACCCAGGATGTTTGACATATATTATGGTGACAACACATGGTGGATCGTGTTCACTGTTGCCAAATGTTAACTCTTAATCCTGGTAAAAGAAAATAACTATGGCCACTGTCAACTAAAAATGACAGAATTTAATCAGACCGGACCCAGAAAAAACTTCGAAGTTCTAGTTAGCAAAAAATTGGAGGTAATGAATAGTGCGTGAGAATTTTCAATAACCTTAATGGATTACTGGGGTTACTGTCAATAAGTATAATTAACAGTCCAAAGATTATATTAAAACTCCATACACAGCGGCTGGTAGTATGAGGCCTCTTTTTTTTTTTATTTTTAGCAGCATTGTTTACTACAGAAAAAACATAAGCTGGAAAATATACATAGAAAAATTAATCCACTGTATATCGAGGAATATTTTTGACGAGATAGAATTAGGTGCACGGTGCACAAAAGGAAGATAGATTGCGTTCGCGGAATGTAATCAGTTGTTCTGACATATAAACCAAGAAGCCTGTTAACAATGAACTTGAATTGAACAAATCACCTTCAGTTAAGTATACAGTAAAACCCTGGTTTGAGAATAATAACTGTCAGCACCGTGCGCGATATCACCTGTCATGTAGCATAACATACTGTCATGTAGCATAACATACTGTCATGTAGCATAACATACTGTCATGTAGCATAACATACTGTCATGTAGTATAACATACTGTCATGTAGCATAACATACTGTCATGTAGTATAACATACTGTCATGTAGCATAACATACTGTCATGTAGCATAACATACTGTCATGTAGTATAACATACTGTCATGTAGCATAACATACTGTCATGAGCATAACATACTGTATGTTGTTTAACACGTCATGTAGCATAATACTGTCATTGTAGTACAACTTAACATAATGTAATGTAGCATAACATACTGTCATGTAGCATAAACATATGCATGTGTGTAACTTACTGTCATTGTAGCATAACATACTGTCATGTAGTTTAACAATGTCATGTAGCATAACATACTGTCATGTAGTATAACATACTGTCATGTAGCATAACATACTGTCATGTTAGTATAACATACTGTCATGTAGCATATCCATACTGTCATGTTTATTCCACTAGCATAAATACTGTTATGTAGTATAACATATATGTCATGTAGCATAGCATACTGTCATGTAGCATAGCATACTGTCATGTAGTGTAACACTACTGTCGTGTCGCATAGCATACTGTCATTGTGGCATAAAACATACTGTCATGTAGTGTTAACATATGTCATGTAGCATAGCATACTGTCATGTAGATAGGCATACTGTCATGATAGCATAGCATACTGTCATGTAGGCATAACATATGTCACTGGTAGTTTAAAATACTGTCAATGTAGCATAACCTACTGTCATGTAGTCATAACATTACTGTATGTAGTGTAACAAACACTGTCATGTAGCATAACATACTGTCATGTAGTTTAACATACTGTCATCGTGCATAACCATACTTCATGTAGCATAACTACTGTTCATGTAGTGTAAACAAACTCATGTAGCATATCATACTGTCATGTTGTGTAACTATACTGAAATGTGCGTACATACTGCTTCATGCCTAGTGTAACATTCTGTAATGTAGTGTTGACATATGTCATGTAGCATAACATACTGTCCTGTAGTTTAACATTACTGTCATGTAGCATTAACATTACTGTCATCATGTCGCATAACATACTGTCATGTAGCATAACATACAGACCTTGTAGCTGAACATACTGTCATGTAGTGTAACATACTGTCATGATAGCATAACTATACTGTCTTGTAGCATTACTTACTGTCATGTAGCATAAATTATTGTAAGTAGCATTACATACTGTCATGTAGCATAACATACCTGTACTGTAGGCATAACATTACTGTCATGTGCATAACATCACTGTCATGTAGACATAACATACTGTCATGTAGCATAACATACTGTCATGTAGCATAACATACTGTCATGTAGTATAACATACTGTCATGTAGCATAACATACTGTTCATGTAGCATAAATACTGTACATGCTGTGTAACAACTCAATGTAGATAAAACATACTGTCATCCTGTAGAGTAACATACTGTCATGTAGCGTAACATACTGTCATGTAGTGTAAAACTACTGCTGTAGGTAACATCTGTCATGTAGCATAACATACTGTCATGTAGTGTAACATACTGTCATGTAGCATAACATACTGTCATGTAGCATAACATACTGTCATGTAGCATAACATACTGTCATGTAGCATAACATACTGTCATGTAGTGTAACATACTGTCATGTAGCATAACATACTGTCATGTAGCATAACATACTGTCATGTAGCATAACATACTGTCATGTAGCATAAATACTGCGCATGTAAGCAAACATTACTGTCATGTAGCATAAAACATACTGTCATGTAGCATAACATAGGTCAATGAGCATAACATACTGTCATGTTGCATAACATTCTGTCATGTATAGCATATCATACTGTCATTGTAGTATAAAATACTGTCATGTAGCATACAACTGTATTGTAGCATAATAATACTGTCTTGTTGTGTAACTCATTACTGTCATGTGCCATAGCCATTACTGTCATGTAGTGTAACATACTGTCATGTAGTGTAACATACTGTCATGTAGTATAACATACTGTCATGTAGTATAACATACTGTCATGTAGCATAACATACTGTCATGTAGTGTAACATACTGTCATGTAGCATAACATACTGTCATGTAGTAAGTACATACCTGTTTTTTTTTTTTTTTTTTTCCCCCAATGTAGCATAAACATACGGTAATGTTAGCATAACATACTGTCAAGTAGCATAAACATACTGTTCTGTAGTGTAAAATTACTGTCATGCCCCCTATAAGCATAACATACTGTCATGTAGCATAACATACTGTCATGTAGCATAACATACTGTCATGTAGCATAACATACTGTCATGTAGTGTAACATACTGTCATGTAGCATAACATACTGTCATGTAGTGTAACATACTGTCATGTAGCATAACATACTGTCTCGTAGACCAATAACATACTGTCATGTAGCTTAACATACTGTCATGTAGTATACCATACGTCACGTAGCTTAACTCATACTGTCATGTAGCATAACTACTGCTTCTGGTTGTATAAAACATACTGTCATGTAGAATAAACATACGTCACGTTGCCATAGAATACTGTCATGTAGCTTAAACATACTGTCTTGTAGTTGTAACATTACTGTCAATGTAAGCATAACATACTGTCATGTAGCATAACATACTGTCATGTAGCATAGCATACTGTCATGTAGCATAGCATACTGTCACGTAGCATAGCATACTGTCATGTAGCATAGAATACTGTCATGTAGTGTAACATACTGTCATGTAGCATATACCATACTGGTCATATAGCATAAAATATATGTCATGTAGTGTATCATACGTCATGTAGTGTAACATACTGTCATGTAGTTGTACATACTGTTCATGTAGTGTAACATACTTGTCAAGTAGTGTAACATACTGTCATGTAGTGTAACATACTGTCATGTAGTCTAACATACTGTCATGTAGTGTAACATACTGTCATGTAGTGTAACATACTGTCATGTAGCATAACATACTGTCATATAGCATAAAATACTGTCATGTAGTGTAACATACTGTCATGTAGTGTAACATACTGTCATGTAGCATAAAATACTGTTATGTAGTGTAACATACTGTCATGTAGTGTAACATACTGTCATGTAGAGTAATACGTCATGTTAGTGTAAAACATACTTGTATGTAGTGTAAATACTGTCATTGTAGTGTAACTACTGTCATGTTGTGTAACATACTGTCTGTAGTGTAACATACTGTCATGTAGTGTAACATACTTTTAATGTAATGAGTGTAACATACTCGCCAAGTAGCGTAACATACTCGTCATGTAGTGTAACATACTGTATGTAGTGTAAATACTTGTCATGTAGTGTAACATACTTAATGTAGTGTAACATACTGTCCATAGTAGTTCTAACATACTCGTCATTCTGTAGTGTAACATACTGTATGTAGTGTACACATACTGTCATGGTAGCATAAACATACTGTCATGAGGTGTAACATAATGTATGTTTAGTCGTAACATACGTCATGTAGAATATCATACTGTCTTTAGTGTAACATACTTTCATAGTAGCTTAGCACATACTGTCATGTAGTGTTATCATAAGCCAATTAACGTAAATTCTGTCATGTAGTGTAAACATAATGTCATGTTGTGTTACATACTGCCAAGTTAAAGTAACATACTGTCATGTAGGGTAACATACTGTCATTGTAGTTGTACATACTGTCATGTAGTGTAACATACTGCCAAGTAACGTAACATACTGTCATGTAGTGTAACATACTGTCATGTAGTGTAACATACTGTCATGTAGTGTAACATACTGTCATGTAGTGTAACATACTGTCATGTAGTGTAACATACTGTCATGTAGTGTAACATACTGTCCATGTAGTGTAACATACTGTCATGTAGTGTAACATACTGCCAAGTAAAGTAACATACTGTCATGTAGTGTAACATACTGTCATGTAGTGTAACATACTGTCATGTAGTGTAACATACTGTCATGTAGTGTAACATACTGCCAAGTAACGTAACATACTTTCATTTAGTGTAACATACTGTCATGTAGTGTAACATACTGTCATGTAGTGTAACATACTGTCATGTAGTGTAACATACTGTCATGTAGTGTAACATACTGTCATGTAGTGTAACATACTGTCATGTAGTGTAACATACTGCCAAGTAAAGTAACATACTGTCATGTAGTGTAACATACTGTCATGTAGTGTAACATACTGTCATGTAGTGTAACATACTGTCATGTAGTGTAACATACTGCCAAGTAAAGTAACATACTGTCATGTAGTGTAACTATACTGTCATGTAGTGTACATACTGTCATCGTTGTTTAAAACATACTGCCAAGTAAACAGTAACATACTGTCATGTAGTGTAACATACTGTCATGTAGTGTTTAACATACTGGTCATGTAGTGTACATACTGTTCATGTAGCTGTAACATAATGCCAAGTAGGTAAACATATGTCATGTAGTGTAACATACTGTCATGTAGTGTATAACTACTGTCAGTGTAGTGTAACTTACTGTATGTAGTGTATAACATACTTGTCATGTAGGGTAACATACTGTCATGTAGTTCTAACATACTGTCATGTAGTGGTAACATACTATCATTGAGTGTAACTTACTGTCATGTAGCGAACATCTGTCATGTAGTGTAACATACTGTCATGTAGTGTATACATACTGTCATGTAGAATAACTTCTGTCATGTTAGTGTAACGCCATACTGTCATGTAGCATAAACATACTGTATGTAGTGTAAACATACTGGCCAAGTAAACGTAAACATTTACTGTCATGTAGTGTACACATACTGCCAAGTAAAGTAACATACTGTCATGTAGTGTAAAAATATGTCATGTGTGTAACATAACTGTCATGTAGTTGTACATAATGTCATGTAGTGTAACATACATGTCATGTAGTGTAACATACTGTAAAGTAGTTGTACATACTGCAAGTAACGTAACATACTTTCATTAGTGTAAAATACTGTCATGCTAGTGTAACATACTGTCATTTTGTGTAACATACTGCCAAGTAAAGTTACATTACTGTCA